TCAATTTCAGCTATAAGGAAACAAATTTGTACGTTCAAATGATTTTAAACAATTATTTTTTAGAGTGGTCAACAGATCGAGTACTAACTCCGGATGTGCGATCGAAAGATGCAGTGCCAACGAAAGGTCACAGTTTTTGCAGCCAGATATCACAATGGATAAAGTGAAAGGTCTATACAACAATTCATCGAGTAAGTAAAAAAAAAACAGTATATACATGCTTCAACTTATAAAATAAACGCGATGTTTAAATCAACCTGTTCTTTGAACGCATGCGTCATTATTTCTACTGATAATATATAGTTGTTTGAATATGTTCTAGTGAGTGAGTGTACAGTTTTGGACTATTTATAACAAAAAATAATCAAAGATACAAGGCATATAATTTTGTATACCAGACGTGCGTTTCGTCTACACGAGACTCATCGGTGACGCTCGAATAAAAAAAGTTAAAAAGCAAAATCAAGAACGAAGTTGAAGAGCATTGAGGACCCAAAGTTCCGAAAGGTTTTGCCAATGACAGCTAAGGTAATCTATTCCTTAGGTAGAAAACCGTAAGTATTTCAAAAAATTCAAAATTTTGTATACAGTCAATTTATAAATATGACCATATCAATGATATGTTATGCCAACACAGAAGTGCTGACAACTGGGCTGATGAAGCGCTTGTGGTTGAAACCTAGTATCAGTATGGACACTTGTGATGCATATGATTTGGTTTAAAATCCATATACTTTCATAACTTTGTTTCAGGACATTTCCCCACGTCAGTAAAATGAATGGTCAGCATGTTATTGAGACTGCAAATACCGTAAATAGATTTCTAATCATTTCTTTAGTTAAGTACCAAAAAATATTTATATTAATATCATATTGACATGTGCTTGTCCTGAATATGATTTTAAAAAAAACGGTCGCCGTTAAACACCCATTCATGTTACAAGCTTTGATACCAATCTCCGCTTTTACTAAGAAACAATTGTCTGTGAAGGTACAGTCCTGTCCCTTGATATTTTAATTTTTACCTTTGATATAATTCGTGTGGGTTACTCGATATTAAATTTTAATCCGTTTGTTATGAAGTCAAATGTATGTTAGTTTTATAGGAGGTTCCTTGATTTTAATGTCGGCTAAGACATTCCCCTTTACAAACGAGTCTAACATTTGATTTTAAAAAAAGATTTGGTTTATTTTAGTGCCGCACAAGCTGTACAACATCAAGAACAGGGATTTGCTGAAACAGCTCATGGTATGTCTCATATAGGGACTACAGTTATGACTTTTATTCAGCAAAGACAGATCAACGACAGAAGGGATGACATCATTATTAATGCTACAATTCTATTTAAATCGAAATCTATTCCTAGGAAGAAGTAAGAAAACAAATTTATATCAAAGTGAAAGGGAACATCTAAGTGTTAGTAATTTATTTCAGTCTGAAAAATAATGTTCTTTACTTTCGGTAGCGTTATGTTTTATAACATATTTACAAATCAACAAGGATAAAAATTATAAAAGATAAATAGACACTTTAAATCACAAAAATGATTAGCAAGGCAAGATCTACTAGCAGGTCAAATTTTGCCGATATAGTTAGTAGAGTGCTACTCTTTATAGGAGTGATTGCCCTTAAATGAGGATTTTTTTTACCCTCTTTTATGTTTTGAGCAAAAACTATAAAGTAGATAGAGAGAAACTAAAAAGACTAAATGATCATCAATACAAGATCAACAAAACAGAGATTTTTGTCATGAATTCTATTATCATCTACAGTGTTGGAGAGTGTCCTTTGTTGAATATGCACATAGACCAAGGTGAGCGACACAGGCTCTTTAGAGCCTCTAGTTTATATAATACGGAAGTTTGAATAAAAAAAAATATAACATGAATACGTTACAAGTCGAAGCAGCTTTTATTTATCGCTTTTTATGTAGGAAATACGAAGAAACCAGTGAAACAGTGAAAAAATAGTAGAAGGAAACCTAACACCATGACAAATACGAATGAATAAATAAAATTCCACAAAAATTATCGTAGTAAAATGATTTCTATTAATCAAATTTATCAGTCATTTGACTATCCATCTTTTTGGAGTCACACATGAGTCTAAATTTTATTAAATTAATCGATTTAGAATTCGAAAATTATAAAAAAGTTCTCTTGAAAAAAAATTGTCATGTTTAAGGTGCTGTTACACCAGTATATTTAGTATTACTCCCAGCTGGAACAACAAGTCCAAAAGCACAATCAAACACTGGGGATGAGGTTGAAAGAAAACGTATGAAAAAAACTTTGATTTATTAAACATATCTATATTGATGTTTTAATGAAATTATTGTATTATTATTTCTTTTAAATAAATGAATGAATATGTTATAAGGTAAGTGAAAATCCAAGTGATTGACTCCTTTATGTACAGTCGTATAAGGGCAGTGCCTGAATGGTAAGTGAAGTTATATTTTCGCCTAATACTATCTGGCCTTTTAAAACTACAATTTCTTTTATTTTTCTATATCATTTGACCATTACGTCAATGAAGGTCAATCAGACAGATAGTTGCAGAAAAAGTTTATCAAGATGCCATCACAATCATTCCATAAGTCATATTAAACAAGAACCGCGAACTTTGAATTAAATGCATCATCTATAGGAAAAATAACTCATTTACAATCTGTTTTAACCACTTTTAACAACTTAATATATGAGCACACAATAGAGGATTTACACATTTCACAAAATCGATTCATTAAATCATTTCTACAAATGTGTAATGGAATTCGCATATTGTTTTACAAAAAATATATAAAATTTCCCTTCAATTTCAGCTATAAGGAAACAAAGTTGTATGATCAAATGATTTTAAACAATTATTTTTTAGAGTGGTCAACAGATCGAGTACTAACTCCGGATTTGCGATCGAAAGATGCAGTGCCAACGAAAGGTCACAGTTTTTGCAGCCAGATATCACAATGGATAAAGTGAAAGGTCTATACAACAATTCATCGAGTAAGTAAAAAAAAAACAGTATATACATGCTTCAACTTATAAAATAAACGCGATGTTTAAATCAACCTGTTCTTTGAACGCATGCGTCATTATTTCTACTGATAATATATAGTTGTTTGAATATGTTCTAGTGAGTGAGTGTACAGTTTTGGACTATTTATAACAAAAAATAATCAAAGATACAAGGCATATAATTTTGTATACCAGACGTGCGTTTCGTCTACACGAGACTCATCGGTGACGCTCGAATAAAAAAAGTTAAAAAGCAAAATCAAGAACGAAGTTGAAGAGCATTGAGGACCCAAAGTTCCGAAAGGTTTTGCCAATGACAGCTAAGGTAATCTATTCCTTAGGTAGAAAACCGTAAGTATTTTAAAAAATTCAAAATTTTGTATACAGTCAATTTATAAATATGACCATATCAATGATATGTTATGCCAACACAGAAGTGCTGACAACTGGGCTGATGAAGCGCTTGTGGTTGAAACCTAGTATCAGTATGGACACTTGTGATGCATATAATTTGGTTTAAAATCCATATACTTTCATAACTTTGTTTCAGGACATTTCCCCACGTCAGTAAAATGAATGGTCAGCATGTTATTGAGACTGCAAATACCGTAAATAGATTTCTAATCATTTCTTTAGTTAAGTACCAAAAAATATTTATATTAATATCATATTGACATGTGCTTGTCCTGAATATGATTTAAAAAAAAACGGTCGCCGTTAAACACCCATTCATGTTACAAGCTTTGATACCAATCTCCGCTTTTACTAAGAAACAATTGTCTGTGAAGGTACAGTCCTGTCCCTTGATATTTTAATTTTTACCTTTGATATAATTCGTGTGGGTTACTCGTTATTAAATTTTAATCCGTTTGTTATGAAGTCAAATGTATGTTAGTTTTATAGGAGGTTCCTTGATTTTAATGTCGGCTAAGAAATTCCCCTTTACAAACGAGTCTAACATTTGATTTTAAAAAAAGATTTGGTTTATTTTAGTGCCGCACAAGCTGTACAACATCAAGAACAGGGATTTGCTGAAACAGCTCATGGTATGTCTCATATAGGGACTACAGTTATGACTTTTATTCAGCAAAGACAGATCAACGACAGAAGGGATGACATCATTATTAATGCTACAATTCTATTTAAATCGAAATCTATTCCTAGGAAGAAGTAAGAAAACAAATTTATATCAAAGTGAAAGGGAACATCTAAGTATTAGTAATTTATTTCAGTCTGAAAAATAATGTTCTTTACTTTCGGTAGCGTTATGTTTTATAACATATTTACAAATCAACAAGGATAAAAATTATAAAAGATAAATAGACACTTTAAATCACAAAAATGATTAGCAAGGCAAGATCTACTAGCAGGTCAAATTTTGCCGATATAGTTAGTAGAGTACTACTCTTTATAGGAGTGATTGCCCTTAAATGAGGATTTTTTTTACCCTCTTTTATGTTTTGAACAAAAACTATAAAGTAGATAGAGAGAAACTAAAAAGACTAAATGATCATCAATACAAGATCAACAAAACAGAGATTTTTGTCATGAATTCTATTCTCATCTACAGTGTTGGAGAGTGTCCTTTGTTGAATATGCACATAGACCAAGGTGAGCGACACAGGCTCTTTAGAGCCTCTAGTTTATATAATACGGAAGTTTGAATAAAAAAAAATATAACATGAATACGTTACAAGTCGAAGCAGCTTTTATTTATCGCTTTTTATGTAGGAAATACGAAGAAACCAGTGAAACAGTGAAAAAATAGTAGAAGGAAACCTAACACCATGACAAATACGAATGAATAAATAAAATTCCACAAAAATTATCGTAGTAAAATGATTTCTATTAATCAAATTTATCAGTCATTTGACTATCCATCTTTTTGGAGTCACACATGAGTCTAAATTTTATTAAATTAATCGATTTAGAATTCGAAAATTATAAAAAAGTTCTCTTGAAAAAAAATTGTCATGTTTAAGGTGCTGTTACACCAGTATATTTAGTATTACTCCCAGCTGGAACAACAAGTCCAAAAGCACAATCAAACACTGGGGATGAGGTTGAAAGAAAACGTATGAAAAAAACTTTGATTTATTAAACATATCTATATTGATGTTTTAATGAAATTATTGTATTATTATTTCTTTTAAATAAATGAATGAATATGTTATAAGGTAAGTGAAAATCCAAGTGATTGACTCCTTTATGTACAGTCGTATAAGGGCAGTGCCTGAATGGTAAGTGAAGTTATATTTTCGCCTAATACTATCTGGCCTTTTAAAACTACAATTTCTTTTATTTTTCTATATCATTTGACCATTACGTCAATGAAGGTCAATCAGACAGATAGTTGCAGAAAAAGTTTATCAAGATGCCATCACAATCATTCCATAAGTCATATTAAACAAGAACCGCGAACTTTGAATTAAATGCATCATCTATAGGAAAAATAACTCATTTACAATCTGTTTTAACCACTTTTAACAACTTAATATATGAGCACACAATAGAGGATTTACACATTTCACAAAATCGATTCATTAAATCATTTCTACAAATGTGTAATGGAATTCGCATATTGTTTTACAAAAAATATATAAAATTTCCCTTCAATTTCAGCTATAAGGAAACAAAGACAGCAAGAAGGTCATATATCAACAACACTGTTCAAATATTTTTCAATGTACAATTTCGTTGAAGACTATATATATTTCTTTGTAACATTAAAGTGTATATTTCATAATTACTGCATTAGATGCAAAATAAACGTATATTTTGACAATAAATTATTATGTTTTTCCTTTCAATTCACACACAAATTGCTTACACTTAGATATAAAGGAAACAATGTACGAATGGTCATTGTGGAAATTATTCTTAATAACATCATTTCAATACAGGCAGTTTTTTCATTTGCGTTTTGACAATGCATGAAATAGATTTGTTTCTACATAAAAGAATTTGAAAAACTTGATTTTCCATATAAGATGTATGAAAAAAAATCAATGTTTTATGTGTGAAAAAGTTGTAGTAATACCAAGAATTTTAGAAAATTTTCTCACTCAAGTAATTGATATGAATATAACTAAATTAAAGAGAAATGCAGTGGTTGCTTCGCAATCTTTTTTAATTGTATTGCGTAGGAAACAGCCAGTGATGCAAAATATTAAGGATAAGTTCAAAATTATAGCAGGAAATATTATTAAACCAGTGTACAGTATTTCTGTTCTCTTTCGACGTTAATAATGTCAACATCCTCAGTTCTCCTCTTGTACTGCACCACAAATTTATTGCCTCCATTGCCACTGATGATTCTAAATGCTTGATTATCGTTGTCGTAGATATTTACTTCAGCGTTTTTCCAAACGTTATTATTCTCTTTATGTAAAAAATCAATAGTAGCCTGGAGAAGTTTCCGTAGTGACGTTTTCTGTTCCTCTTCCATGTGTCCTTCATTTCCACAATAGGATATTATACATTTTCCAAGTGACCTTTTGTTTATTTCTTCTACTCTGACGGTTGTATATAAGCTCTTAAAAAGAAAACAACATGTTTTAAATGAATCAAACATATATAACGAGAGCCAATAGAAATGCAATCCCTACATGTATTTTCCATTTGATAAAAAATGAAACTGATAGATCTTCCTTGTAAATTGACAAATTGTTCTAAGATTTGAAGACACATTTCCAGCAATTTTCAAAGCTTTTTTATTTTCATTTAAAATAGGTCAGATTTTAACAAATTCAACATTTTAAACAAAAAATTGAAATTTTTACTTTGAATTGCAAATTTCCACCATTATGAATACCCTATTTCGTGTGTAATCAAAAGAAATGCAGATTCACAATTTTCGTTTACATTTAGTGCAATGTGATCATATTTTGATGGAAATTTGTGAGTTTTGTAGTAATCCCTATAGGACTAATCAGAACAGAAAAAAAATCGACTCAAGACCAAACTGTTAAAGTAACATTTAGCCAAATATTTAATTAACAGGTCAGTTTTCAAAGTCAGGAATATGGCAGTTGGTATCAGACAGTCCGTTTCTATGTATGTTGGCGTTTGCTTTTGTTGTAGTTCAGTGTTTCTGTTGTTCCGTTGTATTCCTCTTATAGTTGGTGTGTTTCCATCGGTTTTAGTTTGTTACCCGTATTTGTTTTTGCTTAATCGAATTATGACTATTGAACAGCGGTATACTACTGTTGCCTTTAATTTTCTATTGTTATTCAGAAAAGGACCAAAGAGGACTTGTAATATGATGTGTTGCGCTATTGGCGCTAAGTATAGATTTCAAAAGCCTCTCTGATCTTTCAAATAGAAAAATTGACTTAAAGACGTTTAAGAGAACTATTGTATTATATAAAGATAGACAGAATAATTAAGATTTAAGAAAAAAGTTCGTCTTAGTTTTGTTTAAGGTGTTCCCTAAAATTTTTTATTTTTTTTTTTGGTATGATATCAGTTATACTTTATACGAATTAAGTTTTCGTATTTGTTTCATGTCCTTAATCTTGCTTTAAGGTAGCTGGGGTGTCTTCCTTGTCTTCCCATCTTGGATTTTGAAATAGCAGATTACAATCGGTCTATATCTTTAATGAAATGTGCAAATTTTGAGAGTAGTATGTAATTCATGTGTAAGACTTTTCGTGTAACTATAGAACATTATGTGTTTTATCATATTTACGGCTGTAATTTACAAAAAAACAGAAAATCTTTGTTTGATTCATTTTTTTTTTTCAACTTTGCCACATAAGAGGAGATAACTCAGATAGAAGGGGAGATAAATCAGATAATGTAACTTTTATAATAGAATGTGTTGTGAATTTATCTATTTCATTATGTAGCAAGAAAACGAGTCCGGTGACCCAATTTTTTCTTTTTCTTATCTGAAAGCATATTATTAGAGCTATCTTCTCATATTTTATCTTACAATTCTATAGTGTAGTTTATCACACAAAATTGGGTTTTCCATGCATAATCTATATGAAATCTGACAATTTTGCACAACCTGTAGCGTGAAAAAAGCCCGGTGATCCATACTTTTTATTATATTTTTGAAAAAAGCATGATATAAACTACATTTTGACAAATTATTAAAAAAATCTATAGATATTAATGACTTAATGTTAAAATAGCAAACATCTCCACAGTTCTCTAATCTTTATATTTTTAATTCATATTTAGACATGATCGACATCTTCACCCAATACATAACTTGAAATGATGTGGAATATACGTCAAAGAGACAGTAACCAAAGAAAGATGCCTTGACTTCAGAACAATGTTATTACCATAAAAAAAACCCAAACAAGTTCTAAATCGATTGCAGCGAGTTTATTAAGTTGTGTATAAATAGATAAACTTTGTAGACTCGAAAAACGAGTCTTTTGAAGAACATGTGCACTAGTGACGAAATAAGTTGTTTTTTTCCGTTTTTTATCTTCTTTACACTTTACCCTTAAATACAACGAAAGGAATACTGAGATTAATCATATTTGAATAAACCATCCTAATAAAAAAAAAAAGTGTTATGAAGCAGATGTTGTTTATATGTATGAACGTCTTTCTATGATGAATTCACTTTGCTTGTCTTATTACAGACCTGCTCCTTAACTGTTATGAATTGCAGATTATTGAAACTCATATTGACCTTAGGGAACATACACTTCTTGATATATACTTTCTGCAATACTTGCTGATATTTAAATGACATATCTTTTTAATACTCTAAATTTGTCCATATTTATATATCGACCAAAACATGCACTTAATGTAATGTTACCTCATTCATAATAACAAGGTCTTTACAACGACCATTTTATACGAAACATTTAACAGTCTTTTCATAATCTGACTCTTCGTTTCTGAAATAAAAACAAATATGATCTAGATAAAGTCTTACTCTACCTCATGTGCATGTGCCTGTCCCAAGTCATTTGTTGTCTTTTGTCATATTCTTATGTTTTTTTAGTTTTGGTGGTTAATCTTTTCTAGTCTGTTTCAATTTATGCTTATCTTTTATATTAGACTCGAGGCGAATTATAACTTAACCTTTTTTAGATCTAATGTGATATGTGTGCTATTGTGAAGAAGTCAAGACACCGTTTGAGTCCTTTGATTGCTCTCTCATTGACGTGTATCCAATTCATTCATTTCCATCATATGCCTAGCAATATACGACGTAGCAGTGGAATTTGATCAATGCATGGTAACTGACATCTTCGCTAACCAAGGGTTACGATCCAGTCTCCTCCTCTCCACCCTTGGCAGATTGAGATAGTATTTCGGATCCACGAGGTAATGATTTCCATTGGTCGCAATTGTAACTGGCTGTGTCCAATCAAAAAGCGCCTTTAAGATAATCACGTGTAAATGTGGAACATGTAAATAAACAATTGCCACGTGCTGATTGTGCAACAAGTCTTTAACCTCAAAACATAGGACGATATTTAGTGACAATTCAAAAGTTCTTATTCAACTAATTGAAGTTCCTTGGTATGTTTCTCAAGCAAATGTTGGAATGTCAACGTATACATTCGGTTCCTGCTTCACGAAATTTGTAAACACTAGACATAACCATTTTTTACACCTCCACACCGAAGAGATTTAAAGTACTGTCATTGGTCAAGGTCAAGAATGATGTATTCGGAATGGGCGTGACTTTTATCTATCGGTAGATGGCGCAGCATTGTCATCACAAATGTTGGCTTAATCTTCCAAGGGTGGAGAAGAGGAGGCTGGATCGTAACCCTTGGCTAGCGAAGATGGGTAACTGATGATCATATGACACTAATTTAGAAAATAAATAAAGCTTTGCCTTAAAACAATTTATATAATAACGGTCTTGCCAAAGGCACAATATATCTACTTTGTTAACATATCATCCATTTCAATTAAATTCAATTATCAATATGCTGGATTGTTTAACGATCACATATATGGTGGATTGAAATTCCAACTTACAATCAGTATGTCAATGTAAAATTATAGTGTACTCATGCTAATCGATTTGATATTGTACTTGTAGCAAGCAGAATTCATACGAGAATAATAAATCAGATATATTAGTTTCACTTTGAATTACTATATATATAGTATAGTTATTGAGTTGAGCAAGTAGTTACATCTGTGAACTTAAAATAGAACAACATACAGAGACATGAAGGTATATTTCATATCTATATAGTATATTGAAATGAATGCTAATTGACAACTGAAAACTAACATTTATGACAAACGTAATCGTCGTTAATTTCTTACTAAGTTGTAATATACCATATATGTCCCAACTATAGCAGTAACGCATCTCAGTTAATAAGATATATATGACAGAAATTTTCTCAGTACGGCAATTTTCATTAGCAAAGGTCTATAATTAAAACTAAACATCTATTGTCGTAGGCTACGGACAAATTAAGAAATACAACAATGTGGAGGATCCAGGGGCCGTAAATGGTGTATGCCCCTTTTTAATCGCCAAATCTTTTTTTTTCAAATCTCATGATTTTCACGATATACATATATTATTTTTTAGTATAAAATCGTCCAAAATATTTTGCGGAATATATTCAATTATCGGGACTACGCCCCAACCCTTTCGATAATCCTGGATCTGCCCCTGTTACCATTATGTCAAGCGTGTACTGTGCTCACTTCTGTGGAACTCTGTTTATGTTTCTACATGTACACAATATCCACATGGCATTGTCATCGGTCCTGGCACTATCGTTTTGTTTTACCAGTTATGCATGGTTGTTTTTTTCAGTATTGTATTTAATAATTCATAATCTTCACCTCCCGCCTTTTCCCAACTTCTAATTTACCTAAAAAAAGCGTGACAGAAAGAGGTACTTACCTGATTCACTGCAACAGAGTTAGCCTCAAGTCCTAGGATTCAAGATACTATTCATGTCCATACTGGTAAAATGGAAGTATTTGTCATAATCTTGCTGCATATGTTAATCCGATATTTGTTGTCAAAATGTGTCACGCATTGAAATATTTACAAAAGGATCTGTTTTGAGCTATTTAAATATGTGTGAAGCGAGACACAACATAGCATTTATGGAAATTTGTATCATAACCTAAATTCCAGGTACCTTCTGAACAGTAAATAAACTGAAAGTACAGATAACAACGGAATATCCGAAATATTTTCTTACGTCATCCGGAAGTCTTTTGCATTCTTTAAATAATTTGGTTTTACCTTAGAAACTTCATTCAAAAAATTGTTTATTCTGCAGCTAATTAAGTAAGTTATTTTTCTAGACAATTTTTTCTTTGTATTTTTTTGTTTGTGCAAGAAGAGCAACAATTTTTTACTATTTGTTTCGCTTTTGAAAACGCTTGTTAAACTGTTATCTTTATTTTTTCAGATCAAGATCAAAATGGCCGTAGCAACAGTAAGTTATACATGTTATATTTGTTGGAAACTTGTCAAAAATGAAATATCTTTTCTTGATTTGAAGAAAACAAATGAAATAATAATATATTATTTTAAAGCTCTTATTTTTGAATCATCTGGGGCATCATGATTTATACCTCTCTCTTTATAAAGGGGGGTACGAATAAGGAAATTTTAGCTTATTCTTTATTAGTTTTTGTTTTACAAAAACTACCAAGGATCTGCCTAAATTTTGAACTTATTTTTATTGAATGTTGCGTTATGAACCTTAAAATATGGTCCTGAGTTGAATGGTGGTAGTCCCATATGTCTCTACGACTTCCGGTTCTCTAGTTCGGTATTGCATCATATATTCAATTATGCATTGTGCCCTTAATGAGCTATGGAATTGACCCAATTTTTTTTTACAGTATTGTACATCATCTGCAGATCATCTTACACTTAGCAGATTTGAGATATGTGTTGTCGTTTTAGAGATATTACAGTTTGAAATTTTGTGAGGGGGGGGCAAACATTTCTGAATCAACAACAGCTAGCCATCTGAAATATCTGAAATTGAATGAGTTTAACATGGTTATATGTTTGACTAAATATCAAAAACATTTGATTAAAACCAAAGAAATATAAGCACTTTGAAATTTTCATGTTTAACTTTGAATTTGTATGTTTCATAGAATTTATAGAATTGATATTGCATCATTTTTTGGACTTTGCCAAATGGCAAGGTTATCGCAAATCATATGAATGTCCTTAAAGCGTTAATTTCAAATATCAAATTTCTGTCCCTTGAAAAACGTTGGGTTGGGTGGGGTCATTGAGTGCGAAAAATAAATTGTCTTAGAAGGTAAGGTTGCCGCATATCAAATGAAAGGTTGTAATGTGTACATTTTAAATATCAAATTACTGTCCCCCCAAAAAATGAGTTGGACAAGTTGGATGGGGTATAAGTGCAAAAAATCAAACTTCCTAGAAGATGGTGTTGTCGCATATCAAATGAAAGGTCTTCAAGTCTACATTACAAATATCATACTTCCGATCTCGAAAATTTAGGTGGACGAGATCATTAAGTGCGAAAAAGTGAAAAGTTCAAGAAGGTATGCTTGTTGCATATCAAATGAAAGGTCGTTAAGAGTGCATTACAAGTATCAGACTTTTAAGGGAAAGACCTTCCAATTGTTGTACAAACAATTGAGATACTAGTTGTAAATATAAGATTATTTATTACAAAAACATGCAGAAATATTTTACTTCATACATTTTTTTCAATGCAACGAAACTTATCTGGGTTTTATCAACGCCTGATCACTATTTACATAAAAGGAGTTCTGGACGGATCATTCTAAAAATAAGGGGATCCATTAGCAAGATGTCTGAAAAACCATAAATCGTAGCCCATAAGGAATCACTACTGGATAAGCTCTAGATTGTACTCCGTGTAAACCCGTGTTGTGAACACGGCCTTTACCTGCATGTAATATCTATTTTTATGTCTCATATTTTATCTGTTTAATGCAGAAGTCAAAGCAATTATTCTTTTATACTAGTAGTCAATTTAAAATGTTGCTGGTAGGTAACATATAATGAACATATCACAATTAATTATTTCAAAATAAATTATTTTTGATCCTCATTATCAGCTCGAATTGTTGACTTTCCTAGAACTGTGTCTCGATATCAACATTTACTTCATGTTTTGTCACATCCATAAACAATTTTCTTTCTTGATTTTTTTCTGTTTATTCACATGCGAGTTAAAATCATATTTTCTAATCTAATTTTGTTTCAATGAGGGACATTTTTGCCCGTGTTATAGATACTACTCAAATTATTCTTCCATAACACAATGATACGTTTTGTAATAATTAATCGCAATAGATAAATACAATTATTCTATTTTTTAATTGTATTTACATATTTAAAACAAATGTGTACGCATCAATATGCTCGTGTTATTTCATTTATTTTCATGACTAAAATAGTTTATTGCTCAATATTGTTAACAATTTACTCAGTGTACAGCATTTTCACTAAATTTTCCTGATGTCTTTCTTTTAAGATATCCAGGGGTATGGAACGCCATAGCTGCCTGATGAGAACGATAATCATATCATTAAGGGTTGAGATATAACATGAAGCAAATGTTCTATACTATTACGACATTTGACTATACTACTCTGTCAATTTGTTATTTCACTAAGATAAATTTATATACTATGTAGACGTTTTGATATAACATGGAGTTACCTTTTCATTTGATGATGCCATTTTACCTTGTCATGAGGATATTCTTTTATACTACGAAGACATCTTGATATAACATGGAGCTACCTTTTCATACTGATTTGTCATTTTACTATACTAGTATGTTATATTGCTATATCATAAAGATACATTTTATACTTTAAAGACATCTTAATATAACATTCAGCAACCTTTTCTTACTATTTTGTCACCATACTACACTATTATGTCATGTTACTATCTTATTACGATAAATTTGTATACTATAAATGACCTCGACAAAACATTGAGCAGCTTTTTCATAATATCCTGTCATATTACTATCTTACGACGATAAAGTCGTATACTACAAAGACATCATGATATAATATAAAGCCACGTTTTTCATACTATCTTATCACCTCACTATGCTATTCTGACAGATTATTATATCGTAATGATACATCTTTATACTATAAAGCATATTGATATAACAGTAATCTGAACAAGGAAAATAAAACAAAAGGCACAAGGATTCCAAGGTCATCTCAAAATGCAACATTACCAGTTGATGAGATCTGTTTTTAAATTTATGACTATGCTTTTACGAGTGATTTTTTTTTATGGAAAATGATAACTAATTCTTTATTTCAGCAAATTAATGACTCACTTTGCTTTGTTTATTAATCATTTTTTAGCTCACCTTACCTGAAAGGTCATGTGAGCTTTAGCCTTCACTTGGCGTTCGTCGTTCGTCCGTCCGTCTGTCAACAATTTACTTAAAGATCTTCACCTCTGAAACCACTGGACTAATATTTACCAAACTTGGCAGCAATGATGCTTAGGTAATCCTCTTTCAGAATCGTATCCGATGATCTGATCCGTCATCCAAGATGGCCACTATAGCCGAACATATTCGAAAATAGGACTAATATCTTTTGATTAAAACCAATTGGGCAATTGGGACCAAACCTTGGTGGTCCTAAGGTGGTACTCCTTCAGGATTGTATCTGAATACCCCATCACTCAAACAAGATAACCACCATATCCAAACATAGTTTAACTTAGGACCGTATAAAAAATCACTTCAAGATCTTCTTGTCTGATACTACTAGGCAAATTTTAAGTTGAAATTTAACCTACCTGATTATGTAAAAGATCTAGATTTCTGATATTGACTCTCATAGAAACCTTGAATGAGCTCGATTTTCATAAAAATCTTAAATGGGGACCTTTTTTAGGAGAGGGGCTTGCAAAATTGATGTCGCCTGGATAACTCCATTTCTTGTCCAAGCCTCTTCAATTTCAAACTGAGGTTCACTCCTATGGATTTGTTTTACCCAGTGACAATTTGGGGGCGTGGGGTAGGTGATCGCACTCACTAAGGTTCTTTAATTGTTATATGTCAAATACTTTGTTTATTTAAGGACTTGTGGTGGCTATGATTTAATGTTTCACATTTATTTCGAGGTCATTTAGTGCTTGTTATGTGGTGTGGACTGTTGCTCCATGTTGAAGACCACACGACGACTCCTAGAAGATGGCATTTTTGCCATGTTCTATTTTACTGGAATTGTGTCTCATTGACGCACACCCTGTATTCTTTCTTTTTCATATTCTTGTAAGATTGAAAACTATGGGCTACCATGATTATTGGTAATTTCAAAAGGTGACAATGAGATTGGTTTTATTGCTGACTCTGCGAAATAATACTCTCACATTTGATGAAATCGTCTTTTCCATCGTTCTTGGTGGTGTTTGAAAAAGGTACGGAAGTCCTTAGCGAATCTTTGTATCTCTGCCACAAGGTTACGGAAATTGGACAAAAGACTGGTCTACTATTACCATCTTGCTCCAAAATAGAAATATCAAAACCTTATACACCATAATATTGAAGATCATATTCTGGTATTGCACCGACTGGATTTTGCAGCTGACCTGCTACTCAAAGAGTCAATGGTGTACGAAGTCGATGACATGACCAATCATCTACCCAAATTTCGATTTTCCTGTTGATATCATCCATTAATATATAACGCAGTACCATCAAATGCAACTCGTTCAATGGGTCTAAAACACCTATATCCGCCATATGATAAAAAATATGGTAAAAATAACATAGAACGTCTTCGAAGAGATCACGCCAAAGTCTTTCAATGTGTTGATTATGAGTCCTCGGTCCTGTAATCATGCTTTCTGGTCCATATAATCCTAGCATAAAATCGGCAACAAGGATATTTTCTAAACTTTTGTCCGATCTTACACGTTTGGGTGTTCCATAGCGGGAAATTCCAGTGCGAAAACATTCTAAAATTGTTTCCGATTTGTTATTATCACAACATTTCATGAACATTAGCAATCGCCAGTAACCGTCAATTCCACCGACAATAATGAATTTTCAACGAATCAGTTTGTGATTTGTGTCTATATGCCAAAGATAATTTGGTCCCTCCACATTATAAATTCGCCTATGAAGCCGTCCTCTGCGTCTTTCTTGTGAACTGTTTTCGTCGACCCTTTCAATACTGTCTAATAGACGCCATCTCGTAACATGTATTCCTTTTTTTCATCATGATTCTTAAATAGGTTTCCCCACACCTTGGAAAGTCACTAACTATTCCAAATAGATTTTGGTCAAGTTCACCATCTTCTATTTCAGAGAAAGAAGTTTTGCTTGAATCATAAATGGCCATCCTTCCGTAAACTGATATTTTAAATCCAATCTCCAACATGTTTTCTAATAATGACTTCGGAATGTTGAATTCTTGCACACACATCAATTTGTAAGTACTTTAATCGGTTTTGATGTACCATATTTAGAGCAATCTAACCTTAAATTCATTATGTCTGACCTGTTTTGGACACCAAGTTCTTCCATTTCATGCCATGACAACGGACATAGAATTTCTGGAGATATTTTCTCAAGTTTGAATCTATGCAACAAGTTCTCCAATCCATGATTTTTAAGAAATTCCTGCATAACTCGTCCGTCCGCCATATAGAAATAAGGAGATGTGGTATGTTGCCAACGAGACAACTATCCACTAAAGTTCAAATAAAGTGTATGTAAGCAATCATAGACAACCGTACAGCCTTCGACAATGAGAAAAATCCATACCGTATAGTCGAGTCGGCTATAAAAGGCGCCGACATGAAAAATATGAAACAATCCAATTAAGAAAACTAATGGCCTAATTTATAACAAAACAAATATGACAAACGTCAACCAACGACCACCTCGGATTTATTAAATTCTACATAAACAAAAAAAAAAAATTCTTATATTCCTTGGTCAGCATTACTGTTATATGCTTTATAGTAAAAAAGTGTATCATTATGATATAGTTATCTGTCAGAATAGCATAGTGAGGTGATAAGAAAGTATGAAAAGGTGGCTCCATATTATATTACATCAAGATGTCTGTGTAGTATACGACTTTATCGTCGTAAGATAGTCATATGACAGAATAGTATACTAAAATGACAAATCAGTATGAAAAGGTAGCTCCATGTTATATCAAGATGTCTTCGTAGTATAAAGAATATCCTCATGACAAAGTAAAATGACAGAATAGTATGAAAAGGTAACTCCGTGTTATATTAAAACGTCGTCATAGTATATAAATTTATCTTAGTGATATAGAAAATTGACAGAGTAGTATAGTCAAATGTCGTAATAATATAGACAATTATCTTCAGTAATAGTTATCCCATGTGGACGCGGTGTGTCAGTGTAAGATCCCCCCGATAGCCGGAGGCCAGAGGGTGATCTTACACTGACACACCAAGTATTTGGACTTATCACACCTGACCTTCTACTTTATAATGGTGATTCCATTTATTATGATAAGGTTGTATATATCCCGATTGAAAAGCTTCTGTGACAATGGTTGTTTAGGAAATAGATGTAGGAGAAACCCACGTGTGAGAAAAGAATCTTTGCTTATTATAAATTTAGTATTGAGCATATTTTTTCTGTTCACATTTTCAGCAGGTCACAGTTGAGTACAAGGGACATTGCAACCATGAAATGATTCACAAAATCTATTCTGAACATGAAAAAGAACTCCTTGCCCATGAGAAAGATGCGTTAAAAAAGCTCAGAACTGAAATCCACCGCATCATCAAAGGGGAAAAAAGTTTAAAAGTTACTATTTATCTGGAGAATATGTCACCTGTAACCATATCTAACGACGGAGACGAACACGAATTGGTGATACAATTCAATAAAAATGGTGATATAGATTATCAATGGGTAGAGAAAGAAAAAACGTTCGCACAAAAAACAGCGGAGTTCTGTGGAAATTTTGCAAGTAGAATTGTAAATAAAATAGTAGACATATTCGTGGATTTGATAGGCGAAAGTTTCAAAAAAGCAGTTGGATGGTTTGGAGAAAAAGCGTCAATTGCATGGAAATAATGACATTATTCAATATTTTGAAATAAGGGTTCCTGCTTTAAAAAAAAATGGATCCTTTGTATACCAATAAGCAATGAATGTAGTGAGCACCAGTTAGAATAACATTTTCAATGAGCATAAACAATGTTGTCATTTTATTGAAATATTGATTCTCACATTAGTTTGTATTATTTAATAGAAAAGAATATATACATTTTGGTAATTTTAAATTTAATGAATAAAATATACAAAAAATGTGTTTTGCATTGTTAATCCTTCTGTATTCATTTCATTGTTTCACTTATCGAGAAAGAGTTAGAACGACACATTTATACCGACCACATATTAACGTTTTTAAAAGAGGGTAAAAACGCCACAAGCGGTTGCCCTTTTAATATAACTTTGTAGTTTTGGTCTTTGAAGGATTTGGTGCTGATAATAGATCTTTTTCCCCTCTGACCGAAAATAAAACATGAATAAAGTTATATTGGGGTATATTAAATTTGACAGTACCATAACACTATATCTTAACCAGACTTGTAAAGTTTAACAAACTATTTTCATCAACAGACCAACGAATTTACACTGTAGGAATCCTGGTAGAATAGTTCTACTTAAAAAAGGAAACCTATTCCCTTTTCATTATTTGAACACATGCACAGAATTAAAAGCTATGTGGAGAATGAAAGATAAAAGATAATGTTACATTATTTGAAATTAATATCAAATAATTTTTTGTCAGATTCGGAAAAAAATGAATCTATATCTGCTTCTTTACACATACGACCAAAGTTCTTGCTGGAGTCTTCTTGGCTTTGTTTGTTCAGTTCATTATTTTTCCCTTTTATGTTTGGTGTTGGTTGAGGCTGAATGTCCTCTGTATTGTTGCGACAGTTGTCACACTGCAATGTTAAGCCAGATATTAGTTGACCATGTACTGGACAGTCTGGAATATTTTTGTCGTAACAAGGATCTTCCTCTTGTTTAATATATGGTAAAGTCTGGAGGTCTATTTCTGTATAAATAAGTATAAATAAAATGATTTTTTTTCTATGAATTACTGTTTTCCAAGAATATATGCGACAAGGAAGGGTTCACTTTCTGATTAAATAAGCACTATTCAATGCATTAGAGCTCTTATTTATTTTTATAGTGCTTTGATATTTAATGACAAATTTTCTGTTGCGGCAGAGGCTATCTTTCTGATGCACAAATTTTGATTCGTCCTACCTGTATTTTTTAATATTTTTGGTATCCAATTAAAACCTTCGAACATCACTGATGACACATAATTTGACCAAAAAACCGAGACAGAAAAGATAATGTGCAATGCCAAATTTACATGAAGGAGTTAAAACCTAGAATAATATATTTTTTAAATATTACCGAATAGAAACATGCAAAACGAAGGGATACAAAGAACAAAAAGAAAATTCTTTCTCTGAAAATATTCTAGTAATCTCAACAACAACAAAATGAAAAAAAATAAGTAGACAGTCAAAGTCATGATTTTAGAAACACCATCGAAATTTTCCTCAATAGACAATCGCAAGTTTTGTTATATTTGTATTCATAGTTCTTTAAAATGAAAATGACCCTTTCTAAATTGCGTGCGTCTAAAGCGCTTTTATGCATTTATCAGGAATGCTCATGCCTAAACAATTGAAATATGCATAGAAAGGTTGGGAGCTAAATGGCCAAAAGGGACATAAGAAAATAGCCTATTTCATCTAAGGTTAACTTTGACTGAATGGGTTGGAACCTCGGGATTAAAACATAGCGTGTAGTGCAATATATGGAAAATATAAGGAAATTCTGTTTAATTATCTCCGAGGTCTAGGTTTAGAACAAACAAGGGTGTGGTATAAACGAAACAGCACGATGTCTCAACAGAGTTAGGTTATTTGCGTCAACATGATCAAGTCTGCTATTAATGCCTCACATATTGTATATTTGAAAGTGATATCCAGATTATGACAAATTATGGCAACGGAGAAACACGATTGTTGTACTCCTTATTTTTGGTTCGTGTTGTTTGATCTTTAGTTTTGTGGACTGTTGTTTATTTTCTTTTTTTTTTTTTTTCGCATTGGGTTGTCTGTCCCGTTGCTATACAAGTGCCATCTGTAATGCGATTCAAAAGTTCTTGTTCTATAGCAAGAAATACAATGTTGAAATCTCATAAATTGATGTAACAAACAAGCAACTAGTATTTGAAATTAACAAAGCAAACATATCGAATTTATGATAGAGTTAAAATGATACAAGAGAGATGAGAAATTAACAAGCTTTCAGTATCGCACATTTTCATTGACTATATTTTGAAAACGTTTGTTGTATCTATTCTAAAATATATATTCAGAATGTCAGTAGAAAGTAAGTTGAAAGAAGTAGCATAACATTAAAAGGGGTTCGAAATAAAATTTGAGGATACCAGTTTTCAATTAATGGTTCATTGGAATTATGTTGAGCCGTTCAAACATTTTGGAGGCTAAGATCAAATTATGTAGACCAGTCAATCTTAACTTGGCTTAGAAGTCGCTTTAATTTTACCGATTGTGTCCTTTGCCCGGGTGTGACATTTCGGCTGAATATGGATTCGTATGGCGGTGATGCATGCATAGCTGGAGACAATTAGCATGTCGACACACCCAGTCTCGCATCGTTTGGAGTTCGATTTCCTTCGATTTTGATTCTTACCTTGATGTATATCTTCTGAATCGATTTATGAAATATAAACACCGATAAACCACTGTTGTCGAATCTTTTAATACCAGTATATGATGTTGACTTTTTGAAGTGATTTTCAGTGTTTGTTGTACATAAAATGCTTGCACAAAATACTTTCAAATACCAAACATAACAATAACAAAAATACATATTACACGGAAGAATAAACTTGTTATAAAAACTATTGCAGTCAAATTTAAAAAGAAAAATCTTAATATATTAAGATGTCAATTGATTTATGGTTATACATTTGTACTTACCTCTGCTAACTTTAGAACCACATGGATTATAGCGACCTACAATTTAAAAAAACCCAGCAATTTTGGAAAAAATAGTTTTCCTTCCTCAATTATGTCTTTGGTATCGGAGCATTCGTTTCATCCCAGTGTTATAAAGAAAGGCCTGTTTTCCATATGGTAGATAGCCAATTTTTACCTGATTTATAGTTAAAGGGGTGTTTAGTTTTTTGTACCACAAAATTTCGTACTGACCTTTAAGTTGACAATCAACGTCTGGTCCGTATCAAGATAAAATCAAACTGTTCTTTCAGTCGGCATGGTTAAGAAGTCTTGTTTATTTATTTTTTTGCTTTTGTTTGTTGTTTTGTTGTCTGACACATTTACAACACGTTCAATGATAAAATTCAAAAGTACATCCTCCATTCACTCCAATCTTTACAGAAATGTGATTTTTTTGTACTAATAAATTGTAAGTTTTATACTTACTGAATTTATACATGGTGAAAACAATGATGATAACTATAATTAGACCAATGGATCCTATCACTGCACCAATCATTCCAGCTTGTTGATTTGTGTTTTCATCCGATTTAGATGAGTCTTTCCCGTCAGACTGACCTTTGTTTTGAAGAGATCTTGTCATTATATTGTTTGGTAATTGTAGATTGACTGGTGTAACTGTAATAGAAATATATAGGTGATTGAAATGAACCCACTTTTTTAATTAAGGTTATATGCAGTACAGAAATAAAAAAAATTACCAATCAGTATTAAACGCTGTGGATACCAGATATGTATCCTGTACTAGTAACCCAATGTATTCTTATATAGACATAAATTTAAAGTAAAATGCTATCCTATTCTCGTATAGTAGTTCCAAACATGTTGTTATTAGTGTGATACATGTATTTAACACAATTGCAATGCTTCATGCGAAGCTCCCATGTTTGCATGTTTATATATGTATATATATATGAATATGTTAACTGAACATTGATACACTGACTTTACGATAATAAACTTTTATTATGATTCCATACATCCTTGAGACTACCAGGTCTTAAATTATGCCTATTGTAATTATGTCTATTCAATCAATGGCAAAGTTATGTCAAAACCATTTTTTAAATGTTCTTGTATATTATTTCATTTCATTTGTTAACACCGTTTTTCTTACTGTCATATCTTTTGTTGTGGAAACAAACTTTTGGGTCCGTGTCTGAATTACTGCTTAGGAAAAATGCCTTTGGTAGACTCTCTACACAAACTACATTGATGCTTTCCATAAAAAAATCCAACGAGCAGTTCATTCTGAAAATTGGGGACTAGAAAAAAATGTTAATTTCATATGGTTAACAAAATTACAAGGTACAAGGTAAAAATTAGATACACAATATACGCATTTAGATAATTCATTTCACATCAGTTGTGCTGGAAACTAAATATATGAAAGCCAAAGCTTCAAACGTTAAGTGTCAAAGTTGGGTTGAATAGTATCTGAGTTGTAGAATGTATAAACCAAACCCGAGTACCATCTAAAAGTAAAGAATTAAAATAAATTTCCTGATAGTTCAACTAATCAGGGTTATTTGATATACGAAAAACTGTTTATTTTTTTTTATATATATTTTGCATTACGTCGCAATGAAATTATCGACTTCTTTAACTTATATCAATCACTGCATCATTCTGTGTCACATTATTTTTGTGCTTAATTTTATATTCAAAACTATCTTATTGCGTTGATTTCTATAACAGTTTATTAATGTGTGCATTTTGGTTGCACCAGGCAATTTATTTCATAGTAATGATCTCGAAATTCACAATGCATGTCGAAATATTTGTTTACACCTGAAAGATGTTAGATTATAAAAAATGTATTTGTCAATACTTATGGTCAAGATTGAACTTGGATTTTACGGTTATTCAATATTTCTATTTGATCAATTACTTTTATGTTTAATAAATACGGATGTAAATAGTTCTCTTTTATAAACGGAATCAATCCGTTATCTAATTTTTTGTTGACAAAATGACCATTACAAAATTTGTTGTTAGCAACGTCATTTGGTACTTAAAGAAAGTTGAATTATTATTTGGGGACTCCGTTTGGGCATGCCAACGAGAGCACATGAACTGCATTCGGATTTTCAAACACAAGCAGATGTATTTTCTTCTTGTTTAAAATTACTGATTTGTAATACTGTTTCATTTTATATTTGGAGTCTATTAAAAGAACTTGGACTTTACCAATTCGTTTATTTTTATTGGATTTTACTGCCGACTTG